ATGTTGCTACGGCCGGATCAAAAAAAAAGTTCAATCATATGAACATCTGTATTTGATTACTTGGTATCGATATTAAACTATCAATGTGTCATAATATAGATATATTGTTTAATTGACAATATGCCCCTTTAATATGTCCCTTTATATTGACCAATATCGATACCAATTAATGAATATGTATTTGATACCCTCTGGTAATTTAACATAGCTATTGAAAATCACAATTTTTAATGGGAAAATCCACTATTAATGGTCATTTTCAATAGCTACGTTAAATTACCAGAGGGTAATTCTAAATATTTTAGAGATGCAGGAATTACATAGATGCATCCATCCACTTTCAGAAAGTTCGACATGACATGATATAACATGATATAACCATATAACCATATACTTTGGTTATTTGTAGATGATACCCCAGTTAAAGGGCATTAGCCGCTTGCTAAATGCAAAGCCATCGCCCAACGAGGCGGTAAAAGTATCCTTCCAGGCCAGGCAGCGCAATGCAAAAGCCTGGATTTCGCAGCCAAAACCTGGGCACGTGGCTCTTTTTTCCCTCAGCATCGAACATATGTGTATATATATATATATCTGTGTGTGTGTGATATATATAATATATGTAAAATGAATATAAATATACTTATACTATATGTATAATATCCACCGTATCCCACTTGAAACCCTTGCAACATGAATCATTGGATCTGTTCATTTGGAAAGGGAATACATGTAGCAAACCAGGAGAGGCAACCAGGAGACGGGCAAAAGCCTGGCGGCCTGGTGATGCAATTTCTGCATCCCTCCGCAAGTTTCCGTATATTTCATCATATTTCAACGTCGTGCAAGCTGTCAAAACAAACAACAGAAATCAACAGAAAACCATTTGAATTAGTGCTTCCATGAGCAGCAGTCCGACATAAACTGTATGTTTGAATATGTTTGAACCTATGTGAGATGACTGACTTGAATCCAACAACATGGCTAAGTGGATCTATTGTCATTGACCCCAGATTCGCCCCTGTGCACTGCCCAGTTTGGAGTCAAGATCTAACTCATTAATCTTCAACGCTGTGGAGTGTTTGGCTGCACTCGCAGAGAGCCACCATGTAGAGTAAGTATACCTACCCTTCATACGAGTTTTCGAAAACCAGCTAGAAACCGGTGGACCATGCGTTGCCACCTGAGCAATCTCGGAAGCTCAAGGTTCACGGAATGGACATCCACAAATTTGGAAAGGTCCATCGCTTACCACACGTTTGCACAAACATTATATCTGGCAAACTGGGAGGGGGGCATCGCTTGAAGGAAAACTACGTACGTGCACACTTATAACACAACCTTCCAAGGGAGCATCGCTATTTGGAAAAATCCCATCGTCTGCCGCGTGTTTCTACAATTTCCAGAAACTGATGTCTGTCCTGTATATGTTTAGATGATTTAGTTCTTTAGTATTGCCGGAGTGTTGTGCCTTGTCACTTATCGCACGGGTGCCCGGGCTATCAGAAGGTTTCCAGTGCACCACCACCGCACGTGGGAGCAGATCAAAGCGGTCAGGAGCCTGGGGCAGGCGCCGGTGAGGTTGCTTGTATACATATGTTTTTGAGTATTTAAAGATATTTAACGTAAGACACATGGATATGAATATATATATTATATATGAATGCTATTTCACATTAATGCTATACCCTCTTTAAAGTTGAGTTTTTAAAAACTGTTTAACCCAGAACAAAAAACGATAAGTAAGTTTTTAGTTGGCGACAATTGAAATCTAATTATTATTTTTTTGCCAATGAGCTTGTGATGTGTGTAGTATGTGTAGTACTTGTATTACTTGTAGTGAATGGGGTTCAGCATGTTGATTGCGTTACCTTTTCCACCTCTTTTTTTGAGTTAAAGGGTAATAAGAGAGAAAAAAAGGGGAGAAAAAGAAATAGAGACAGAGAAAGAGAATGAGAAAGAGAGAGAGAGCGAGAGAGAGAGAGAGAGAGAGATAGGAAGAAGAAGAGGAAGAGGATTGAACAACTTGACTTTTGGGAAAGGCCTGGACTTTGAACTTGGCAATTGTTTTTGGAAAAGGCCAGGCCTTCCTTTCTTCTCTTGGCTCCAGGATCAGCTCTGGAAAAGTTTGCTGCAATTGTGAACGCTGGGAACAAACCTATTATATAAAGTGAATTGGGCCCTCTCGTGGCCCAGTGCCTCGGAAATTTGTGGAACAGCTTTTCTTTTATAAGGGTTTAATAAGCGATCTGATTCTTTTGGGAACGGCAAACAAGCAAGTTGTTTTTTTCCAGAAAAAGTTACTTATCTTTTATTTTCACACCAACATTATTTTTGACGAAAAAAAGTCTGCAAAAAAATATCGCCACAAGAGTGACACTTCCAAGCATTTCATGGGTTCAGAATAATTTGAATTTCTTTAGCCACAATAGCGAACATAACAAGAAAAATCAGGATACAACATTAATTCACACCCCGACCGCCATAGTAATGGGGTGACCCTGCCACTCTGTGAACGCCACAATGACAGGAGTACTGTGTCAGGGCTGCAAATGGCACAAACATAAAGTGGCAATCTGCGCGAAAGACAAAGTGAATAGAATTGTAGAAATGCCTCGGCTCTTAATTCACCCCAGGACAATGTGGTAGTGGCAGTGAGGTCCTTAAACTATGTCACTATGTTGAGCTTCATATCATCCAAACAATCATTGCAGATCATTAAAACACTTTTTTGGGTGGGTTTTCCAAGGCAGCGGGGGCCCATGCCTCTGGTTTCGACGGCCGTTCCGGATCCACCTCGCGCGAAGAATTGCACCAGGGGGAAGGCTACTTTTATTTACGCCCCAATAAATTAACATAGCCAGATAGGGGTTGGAAGACTATGTAAACATTGGTTATTTTCAGGGTCAAACTGCAAACTGTGAATTTACCAGAGGGCAATATAAACAACTGCGCTTTATTAATCCGGGGATGACGTAGTACTGTTGCAAATTGCCCGCCCACAACACTATCAACACTTCTCCCCGTCATGATTCAGAAGGCTGTATAATGATGATCTATAAATATATTGTTCTCGAAGCTGTAACGAAAATCAGATAGTCATCAAAAAAGCTAAAGTTTCGTCACTGTCTCTCCTCTTTTGTCATGATAGCAGTGAGCCCTAGCAACCAACAACAATGAACAATTATATTATATATAATTTTCAGGACATGTCACGACACGACAACTATATATGCTTCGTCTAACCGCGCTGCTGTACTCCAACATGATGCGCGCACTTTGCATGATTGCGCGCACACCGAAAAACCACACTTCAAGAAACCAAGAGTGCAAAACCATGTGCATTGTATCAAGTATGCGGCCAAATGATGTTTCACTTATTAAAATCTCCCACAAAAAATGTTATCCAGCGCAGCATGTCTGTTGTCCGGAGGGCATACGCAGCAAGCAAGAAGGAAACATGTTGTTTCTTTCCATAAAGCCTCGCAAAGAAAAATGAACGTGGGATAATATATGATATATAATATATAATATTATGTATATGGTTTCCTCGTGAAAGTTACATAACATATCATAAAATGACAGGTCCCATCTGATCCGTCTCGCAGCCTGCATGGCGTCGCTGGAGACACTCCAGGGGCCCATGCCAGCTTTGCTATAAGCTCTCACCTGGAATGTGCCCTTCAAACCAAATCCACTGAAATATTTGTGGGGGGTAGGTATACAAAAACCACCATCCAACGGAAAGTTGAAGCTTTAGATTCAACATGATTCAACACATTTCTTTGGTTGCATTTTCCGGGAGGAGCACTAGAACCTCCTTTCCCATCGCCGCCTGCCAAGCCACTCCCATGAGAAACTCAATTTTGTGTGCAAAAGGTTCATGGTGTGGAAAAATAGAGGTGTGTCCAAAAATGGAGTCGTCTGCAAAATTCCCCCCATAGAAACTGCGATTTTTGGGCGCGCAATGGAATCGGAGTCTCCCAATGCGCCTGAAAAAACTGATCAATGGTAGGACCCCAGCAGCCCGCAATGGTGGCCTGCCGGACAGCAGTGGGTGTCTACCCATCTATCCAACTATTCATTTAAACATGCATGTGCATATCTTGGGTGTGATTAGATCAAAAAAGATGACATATTGATTGCACATATGCTCATCACGTAATGCATGAGCATGTTGATAATAGGTATGTAATTGATGATTATGCAATAATGCGCCTATATTTATCCATGTATGATCCCAGGCATTCCCAGGTTATAAATCCCAAGTTCCCCCCTTCCTTCTTGTACTATGTTTGTTTGTTCCTCCCCTTCCCTAGCATTCTTTGCACCACCAAGATACCACCAGTACAAATACTGCTTGCAAACCGCACAGAGTGTACATATATACTGCCTGCCCATAGGGTACCCCCTGCCTAAAGACGACGAACAACAGGATTTCCTACCCTCAACCGCATATATCATAGGTACAAATTATATGCCAACATTGCCAACCAACTAGAACCTGAATACTACCTTTGTAGTGACAATTAAGTAAGTGCATTTGCATGCATTTACACTCGTGTACGTCATTTTGACCATTTAAGTTCATATTGTTTGAAATGTGTATCTCTAAATCTTTATACCAAAAGCAGCTAGCCAAACAAGAAGCAAAAAAAGAAGCTGAACAAGCATAAATCATAGCCATATAATGATATATAATAATGTGCATTTGAACTGTGCACATATCTATTTATAATTATTTATACATTGTATCTACCCTCCCGTAATCAAACATGGCTGGAAAATCACCCAGCTATAGTTCGATCATTTCCCCATTGCAATAAAACCTCCAGGGCGCCACGGGGATTTCCCAGCCCACGGCCTGCACCAAATCTTCACCTGCCATGGCCAAGACTTCAGCCTTTTTGCTCCTCAGCGAAAATGACGAAACTCGTGGGGAAGCCGTTTAAGAAATCAGGGGGACGTTTGAGCTCAATGGGTGGGGTTCTATGTAGATATCGAGGTAAGTCTCTCTCTGTCTCTATCTCTCTCTCTCTCTCTCTCGCTCTCTCTCTCTCTCTCGCTCTCTCTCTAGACATGATTATATATTTCCACTCATTACATACATGTATCTATAGTGTGTATACAAGCCCTCTCTTTCTCTCTCTCTCTATAGATATGATTATTCACACTCATTACATACGTGTATTAAATATATATATATATGTATATACATAATTATATTATATATATATCATATATGATTTATGTATACCAACCTTCTCTCTCTCTCTCTCTCTCTCCCTCCCTCATCAGCAAAGTCTTGATTTACAGTTCACAGTAAGAGGAAATCTGCAGCGTTTTTCAACACTGCCAAATAGTTGAGGCTTTCCTGCGGATGTCGATGTTTGCTTAAACTCATTCTGGGATGGAAAGCCAAAGTGCTTAGTGACATTTCCATCAAAAATGATGATGAATCCCAGGTCAAGAGTCACAAAATGAAGCAAGATGGCTGGCTGGGAAGGGCCAGCTCTTGAGAGGAATATCTAGCCAGGTTTCAGATTACCAGAGCGCCAGGGACTTTGTTGACAGCGAATGGGCTGTTGTCACCATGACCGGGGGTTTCCTCCAAACGTTTGTTTCAATATCCTTCAACCAGTATCCTTCAACCAGTTCTGGGTGCGGAAACTTTCGCAAAACCAGCCCTCTAAAGTCTAAAGGGATTGAAGCTGCAAGATCTTGAGATTTTCACCAAGAAAAGGGGATCTAAGCCTGTAAATTTGAACCCATGAATATAGGGATTGGGTTCAGCCTGACAATGCTGAAAACTCATGTGATTTCATCAAGCCAAGACTATATACTAGATATTGTACACCAGAAAAGGGGTATTGTACGCAACCAGACATGCTGTGGGAAGAATTAATTACCAATTGCAGCTAAGACAGTCTTCAGTTGTTGTTCAGTTTAAAAAGTGACCAGCATTGAACAAAACATGACAATTGTATCTTATGATTATGTTATGCTTAGTTGCTTCCCTGGTGCAATCCAATAAAAACAATGGAATGGTTCGGATCTGTCTGAGTCTTACTCTTCCTCTCTCTCTGTCTCTCTTTCTAGCTCTGTTTAAACTGGGCATGCCTGGGAGGAACCACTTCTTTATAATATACGTACAATTATACAATGGTCATTGCCAAAAAAAACACGCACGTCAAACTCAAACCGTTAAGACCTGAAACTCTCAGGTGAAGCAAGCTGAAACTCTCAGGCCTACAGCCATCTACAGCCTATATCTATACCCAACACTTTTTTTTTCCGCTGGGCAGCTGCATTTCTGCCATGACAGCCGGTTCGGCTCTGCTCTTTCGCACCACCGGACAATTCTTGAATTCGAGACTGTTTCGGGGATTTCGTCAGCGAAGCATCACCAGAGAGTTCAGGTGGGGATAGCGCTCCGCTGCGTCGGGCGTGCCCACCAATTCCTACAGCGGAGAAAGCTTGAAATCCTGGTCCCAAACAACACTTCGAGAGCCACGGCAGTCTCACTTTTTAAACGGGAACAAAACATGTTCATGATGAAATTTCCATTGCCATGTTAGGTTACCAGTGTACAGCAGGAAAGCACAACTCTTGATCAACATTGTAGATATCGGATAGGAAAGAAAACATATAAGAACCGAACTGGACCATGGAAACAGTCAGAATTGTACTTAGACCCTCCAAGTACCCTTTAAAAAATACATTTTACATCATGTTACATTGTTTTAGGGGTACTATGGTGTACTCTGTTTGGAAGCTCTAGATAGTCATGTTTATGAAGATAAACCCTCTACCACCCTCTACTTCCCCATGCCCGAGCTGCGTTGGAAGCGTTCCGTTCGACCTCCTGCAGGAAAGCGAAGACCTAACGCCGGCAGAAATTGGAGTTTTAAGAGACAATTTGGCACTTGAGCCATGGATGGTGTACAGAATGGGATCAAGTCCGTTTTGTAGCAACGAGGCATACCTAAGGCCTCAGGCCGACTCCATAAATTGTCAATATTGGAGTGATCGAACTGAAATCATGGCGTGTATCTTATGCGTGTATGACTGAAATATATTGAAATAGGTACATGGTACCTGTATGTGCAGTCATATTATGCGTGTGGTTCTGTGTATCTGACAATGTGCGAGTATGGCAGCCTGAACTGGTGTGTCCATTCGAGATCTCTCTCCAAGCAATTGGAACATATTGGAACTACCTCTGGTGGCTATGGCCGGGGCTCGGCTGGGGAAGACATCTAGCCCAAGGTGTCTCAAACGCAAGTTGTTTGTCTTTTTTGGGCCAAACCTGGGCATATCATATATTACTGTACTAGTTTTTAACCCATCCACTATCAGCACTATCAATCAACTACAAGAGCTGGTTTTCCATTGCCTATGTTGGAATACCGAAGGATCAAGATGGATCAAGGGTAACAATAACACATCCACCGGTTGGTCATGTCGATCCACAGAGCATGGGAAAAATCCATCGATGCCAAGCGGCATAGGCTCGCGTCAAGTGCTCCGGGCACGCCACGCTTGGTAAGGCCTCCTGCCAAGAACTCTGTAGCAGCCTTGACTCGGGCCGCAAGGAAAACCCCCCAGGTGCATGCTGTGACCAAACACAATGACTTGGATAAATGATTTGAGAAAAAAAACACCTGAAATTGAGGCTTCTTGGGGATTTGCTTTTATGCCATTTTTGTCCCCAGTCCCGACGGGGATGGTCACCCAGCCCTGCCCGGCCCAAGTTTCAAGGCTTATCCATGGTTCTCCATGGTTGTCCGTTTGGGATGTCCATATGATGCAATCAATTTTGGGTTCGCCATACAAGGCAAGCCTAGCCATCCCGAGTCAAATTCCAGTTGCTCATTGCTGGGAACTAAACATACACTTCCATAATCCCTTCATGCTATGGCCGTCCCATCGTCCATTGCTGATTTAATTATGGGATCAGTTAATTAAATACAAGGTGGTGGCCCCAAACAGGAGCTAAGTTTGTGTATAACTAGATTAACGATTGGGTTTATGGCAAATATATGCAAATATATCAATAGTTATATGATGTTAAATGTAGATATAGATGTTATATGATGCTCCATAAACCCAACAGAAATACCATATCATGTGCTGCGGGAAACTCAATTCGTAGCTATTTTTTCCCCCTGAAAAACTGGGGATATGGAGACCATTGGATACCCGGAGCTCCGAACCGCTCCTCGCCACCACCGATTTCAACGGGATTAAATCCCATTAATTCCATTAAATCCCTCACAGAATTGGATGATGGGAAAATTTACAGGAAACCCCTATATTTGATGGTAAAAACGCTGGTAGATTTTCCATTAAACCAATCCAGTGAATCCCATGAAGGAAAAATTCCACGATCTTTGCCACCATTCATTCATATTCATTCCATGGTCCTTGCGCCAAGACGCTCCAAGGGTTGCAAGCCACAGCGTAGGGCCACCGGTGCCAATGCCTGTCCCACACCGCTGTCATGGCTGACTGGCGCAGGTGGCGCCTGGCGGTCGTTTTTTGGGGGGATTGTTCCATATGTTCCATCAATTCAATTCATGGTCATCTTGGGGCATTTATGAAATGTGCGGTTGCTTTAATGATGTTTGCATCTGTTGACTTTTTTTTCCTCACCCCTTCTTTCAGGTGAGTCATTGGGGATGGTTGATGGCCGTTTGCAACACCCCTTCTTGCAGGCTTCAATCTATGATAGGAGAAAAATCACAGAATTCCTTGCTGAAAATATGAGCCATGTGGAACATCATCTATCAATGGGATGCAATGATCACCCCGCAAAGGATGAAAGAAAACAGGTAATTCTTTTTCAATAGCTATGAACAGAAAAACATGTTTTTCATGAACTCATCTATAAATTGTTTTTTTTTCCATAGCAAACTGTTAGATGACCCACCTCGGGTATCGAACATTCTTCAGCAGTCTTTAGGCGCATGGCCTACGCGAGACTCCGTATACCACGCGTACCAAGAAATAAGGGGAATTGGGTTTCCCCTTGCAGTGATTCCCCACCTGCCAGGTGAGGGTTGTTAGATTTTATGTCAGTTGCCTCCTCCTGCCTCCTGCCTCGTCCTCCTCCTCCTCCTCCTCTCCTCCTCGTCCTCCTCGTCCTCCTTGTCATCCTTGTCGTCCTTGTCGTCCTCGTCCTCCTCGTCGTCCTCGTCGTCCTCGTCGTCCTCGTCCAACTGCGACCCGCGATCCACAGTGTTCTCTGCCGGACCTCAACCACGACCATCCACGCCCAGTGTTCCCTGCCGGACCTCAACCACGACCATCCACGCTCAGTGTTCCCTGCCGGACCTCAACCACGACCATCCACGCCCAGTGTTCCCTGCCGGACCTCAACCACGACCAGCCACGCCCAGTGTTCCCTGCCGGACCTCAACCGCGAGTATCCCCGCCCAGTGTTCCCTGCCGGACCTCAACCACGACCATCCACGCCCAGTGTTCCCTGCCGAACCTCAACCGCGAGTATCCACGCCAAGTGTTCCCTGCCGGACCTCATGTAGGAAGATATGGGACAAAGAATGTGCAGAAGAAAGTTAGAAAGAATGTCAGAAGATATGCCAGATAGAATGCCAGATAGAATGCCAGAAGATATGTCAGATAGAATGCCAGAAGATATGCCAGATAGAATGCATCAGATTTGCCAGATAGAATGCCAGAAGATATGCCAGAAGATATGCCAGAAGATATGCCAGAAGATATGTCAGATAGAATGCCAGAAGATATGCCAGATAGAATGCCAGAAGATTTGCCAGATAGAATGCCAGATAGAATGCCAGAGATATTTCAGAATATATGCCAGAAAATATGCCAGAAGATATGCCAGATAGAATGCCAGATAGAATGCCAGAAGATTTGCCAGATAGAATGCCAGATTGAATGCCAGAAGATATGTCAGATAGAGTGCCAGAAGATATGCCAGATAGAATGCCAGAAGATTTGCCAGATAGAATGCCCGAAGATATGCCAGAAGATATGCCAGATCATATGCCAGAAGATATGCCAGATAGAATGCCAAATAGAATGTCAGAAGATATGTCAGATAGAATGCCAGAAGATTTGCCAGTAAGAAAATGTATAAATGTCATGGTGGGGATCACACGAAGTAAAGTAATTTTTTAAAGGCAGTTTCAATGATACATCTGATACATTGAGATTCTCTCCCTCTCTCTCTGTCACCATCGCCATCTCAGGAGAGCAGCAGTTGAGAGCACCATCTGCAGAGAGCAGCAGCCATCATGTATAATATATATATATACACAATGGTGTGAGCATATCGAAGTCCTTCTTTATACACATTCTAACAACCATATAATATATTTATCTCACAATTATACAAGATGATATATTATAATATATATATATATCATAGTACCATGATGTGCTACGTATACAAATCACACATCCTTCCGATACTTCGACAGGTTGACATGGCCTCGCCCGGCCGCGCAGCATTGGCGGTACCGGTGCCCGCGGTACCGGTGCCAGTCTCATGGGATGTCGACATCACATTGGATAAGGAACCTGAGGGCGGCGCTCAGTAGTCATTGCAAATCTCTGGGCAAATAATAACTAACTAACCTTACATAACCTGTAAAGTTAGGCTATATTGGGAGAATTCCATGCAATCTAACCATTTTCGTCGAGTGAGGACACAGGTTTTGGTCATTATTAGTGATATATATTGATATATTATATATAATTCACATTAATTTACTCAGATAAATGTGATGATAATGCGATTAAAAAAATGATTATCATGGGAAAGTAAGCAACATTGAGGATTCAATGGATTGCTGTTGTTGGGGACATCTACAGAAAACCATGGCTAAGTAAACTACTTAGCATTTTTGGGGCTGTCCTGGAATTGTTCCCACCAATTCTACCAATTCTGGGGCAAAAGGGTAAGTCAACCATTTGTAATCAACACCCCATATCTACATGGCAGTATATAGCGGGGCCCTTATCGAACTGGGAGTTGCAGCTTATCAGGCCGGCCTCCCAAAAAATGGCAAGATTAGTTATGAGTTTACTGCAAAATTTAAACAAACGCAGCTCAATGACGCGGTAGTAATTAATCCAGGGATGCTTACCGCCAAAGAAATTTGGCGTGATTCTCGACATTGTGCTTAAGTGGCTCGCCAACAAGTTTGGTCGCTAGATTCCAATTGATAATTAATCTGATTGAATATTGTAATAAATTAATTGCTGAGGGAGTTCCTGACTTTTTCACGTCCATATTCCATTTAATGTCTTGCATTCAGTACTAAACCGTCTCCAATTTTACAAGAAATGGATTGAATTGTCATACAAATGTATAGCTTTCGCACCATGTTAGGGACCGTCACTACAGTGGGTTGTCCCACCCAGATCATCCGAGGTGCGAAACAGCCGACTGGCAGAACCCAAGACCAAGTTGAACCTCAGCTCCCGGATTGGGTTCAAGGCCAAGCCAGCAAACAACTGATAGGATCCCAATCCCATAGCCCTAATAGGAAATACATTGGACATGGAAATACCATGGACTTGATACGAGTACGAATACAGTGAACAGAATGCAGTACAGTAGATCCAATCATACTAAAACAGGGATACGGGGGGTTCGAGGGGCTTAGTCTCAACATTCTCAACCTGATGTTGCGATGATCCATCTCATGATCCACGCAAGATTCGACATCTTCGGATTTCGGACATGTTCATTTGGGTGCATCATCATCACAGATTCCCAAGGGCTCAAAAGGATCCCTTTGAGGGGCTAGGAATGGCCAGTGCCAGGATACTGCGTCTGCTGTCGGCTTGGCGGGCCATCACCCATCAGACTCTCAGAGTTTTGAATCAAATCACCTCAGTGACATTGAGCCAAGGGTGATATACTGGTTACATCTGGTTACTGTATGCCCCATGTTACTGTTTGCACAAAAGCATGCCAAATCCGCCTAAGTCCTAAGTTGCCACTAAGTTGCCGGAATCCCGGAATCAGTGAAACCAACTGGGCCGCATGAAACAGCCATGATTGGATCATCCCAAAGCCCGGAAATACAAAAAAATCTTCACCAGTTTTCATCAGCAAACAGGCAAACATCGGCATAAATAAATATGTTTAACACTGGTCCAATCTGGTCCATCCAGCCACATTACCAAAGGGTAGCATCCTTGAGTTATCAGGCTAATCTGCTCGCATGCCCCACCCAGAAGGGTCGGTAGCCGCCTAGTTTTTACTCGAGCGACTTACAGCCACACCCAGCTGTGATGTGGCTGCATGGAGTGAAGTGAGAAATGCCCTCATCTCTGCCTGCAGGGAAGCAGCGACTAATATGTATCATGTCCTCGATTTCATGGCTTAACCATGCTTAACCATGCTTAATGAAGTTCGACTTTCATTTATTCCAGTTCCATCTCACAGGGCGCAAGTCCAAAACATGGCTTGATCAAAGGATTGACTTCATAGAATCGATTATATAAGGAGAGTGCATTTAGACATCCTGTTCAATTTCATGATGTTCCCCGGGTCATGCGTCTGCCAACAAATATATTGGCATTATGGACCAATATGGAATTTCAAAATATTAACTCTGGAGACTGATGTTCCTATACTGAATACCAGGTGAAGCGGCACATGCCCCCATAGCTATGATAAATTACCAAGAGGTACACAAATGTCACGCGCACGTACACATTCTTTCTGTGCAGCCAGAGTCGGGGATTTTCGGACTCCGCGAGTTGACTTGGCATATTTCTAAGCTGACCCAGAGCGGTCCAAACCCTCCTGAATACGGATGCACGCAAAGGCAGAGATGCACATGTATGCATGTACGCATGTACGCATGTATGGGTGTATGTACGTACCTACGTACGTACGTATTATATGTATTATACGCAAACTATATACATACCGTGTTTGTATTATATTGAGTATTGTGCGTGTGTCAATCATCACTGTGCATGTATCATGTACCTATCCATTCATCATCATTCATCCGCTTATTTTTCGTCATTGTTGGATATTGTTGGAACATTGCTTTGACTGTCTATAACTGTTATCAAGGGTTCCTTGGTATTTAATATTGTATCACAAGGGAATGGTATTGCCGTGCCACCAAGTTAATTACATAGAAGATCACAGAAGTGGAACAAAACAACAACACACCCTTATCCACTTGACAACCCGTCCAACATGAAAGACATCGGTGGATTTTACTCTTCTATGGGAAAACGGAAGCCCTTTTGATTGGCCGCTGGCGCGCTCAATGCCATAAGTCTCGCTCGCCACTACACTCACTACACAAGGCATGCTACGGTCTCCCTTGAGGCCGTAGCATGGACGGTCTCCCTTGAGGCCATAGCATGCCCTAGCATGCCGATTATAAACTTCTAAAAACACTTTCTACACACAAAATGCCAACCATTCTCCTATCTCATCTATACAAGGATGGTCGACTGTAGCAACATCGCTTTCTGGTGGTTCCCCTCCAGACATGAGCCATGTTGGATAATCCCAAAGAAACGCGATTTTAGGCAGTTCGTTGGACCAGCCCAAAAAACGTCAAGTCTTCAAAAATAGAGAGCTTCATGCTCAAACAGCACAAAGCCACGGTCCCTTCCATGGCGAGATTGGCAGGTCACGTCACGCTGTCATGGTTTACATTGCATCTACCCAAACCTCGCGAAACAAACCTGACAAACCTAGGGCATTGACACGCGCATTGCAATAGTATGCAATAGTAAGGTATACAACAACAAATAATACGCACACACATGCTATAATTGGTATTTCATATCTTGGATGTTAATCATTGTGTTTCTGCATCTATTATGATAAACATGTTGGATTTGGAACAATCAAGGAAAGACGTGGAAAGACACTGCATATAGTAATATCTGACACACATATATATATATATATGTATATATCATGTATTCTTCTGAGCTATCTGTTAATATAATGTACCATGTTGTATATTATATAAATTATGTGATGTCATTTTTTTTACGGATACGTCACGTAAAGGAAATTATGTACACATATGCATGCAAGGGTATTGATTGCAAAGCTGCATGCGTATACACTATATATATATATATCAGAATATATATATATACATATATGGGTATGGGTCAATACCTATTATTATCAATTCTAATGGGATGAACATCCATTTACCAACTATTTTGATGTTCACCAGGGGTACAAGGTTTTGACACACTGCCATATATATATATATATATGATATAAAAATATATATAACAATCTCCGTGTGGTGTCAGGGGGTGGCGTGGAACCCCTAACAAAATAAAATAAAATGCGGGGGCCTAAGAACAAAATGTCAATAAAATGATAGGGCATAAGGTAAGATAGGATAATCCAAGCAAAACACACTGGACAAACACACAGAGAATATGGCGTCGACCCCCCCACCTGGCAACTGTTGGACGTCAAGCCCCGGTATTTTTTTGTTTTTATTTCGTAATATTGATTGTTATATTTCCTTAGATCGTTGACAGACATGTGTACAGTATGATATGCGTAATCATTACAGTTTCAGAACTTAATTCATCTCTAGCATTTTTGTTATACATTAGGATTATCGTTCTTACTCACGATCATTTCATCTTTATTTGTCATTTTGTTTCATATTTATTTTTTCGAAAGTTAGTTTCCTTTTTGTTATATAGCATCTTATAACACTTTTAGTCTTGTAAAAATTATGTCGTTTGGTCTTGTGATGTTTATGAGTTGTTGATGAGATAGATTACAATATCATATGTTTATTTAAATGAATTATAATGAATTCATATGCTCCATGGTGTCCAAGTGATTCCAAATCTATGGAAGGTTTCGCAGAATGACCGTTCACAGCTGTGCATCTTTGCTATCATGCTATCTCTGTCGGTTGGGTGGATGGGTTGGGCCCCTCAAAAAACAAAATGCACCTCCACAAAATAAAATGCTGGGGTCTGACCCCATTTTATTTCAGATCTGCTCGATTTTTTTTATTCTTTTTTAGGGGGGCCCACCCTCATTCTCTTGGGGTACGCCATAGGAGGATTATAATAGATGTAATGGAGGAGAGCTTGGCTCTGAGAAACCGCTTTAAGTTGATTGCATGTGTACAAGCTCTCACACACACAACGGCCAAATTCCATCAAATTCCCAAATGACTGCACTTTGCAGTCACCCTATAATTACTGTTGTTGCAAAATTATTGCGATTACTGTGGCGGGTATACAATATACACGTGTATACTGTAGTTTGAATATGTTTAGATATAAAATAACATGTATATACATATTATATATATAAAATTAAATATACGTGCTGCTGCAAAGGATGTTCTATCAATTCCAACTGTAGTGAGTTTGCTATTGCTCACTACTACTCAACCTCTGAGGGGGTGCTGATAGCCACTATTGCTCTTATGCTGCGTTGCACCATGCTAACTTTGTGCTTGCTCAACTTTATAAACAACGTGTTTCTGTTCTGCATTATGTTTCTGTTGCGGTATTTTGCAGTTCAGCCATAATTTTCTAAAATCTGAGTGGGGCACCATTCTACACTGGACCGCGTCTCTGCGAGCACTTTCCGCACTGGTGCCAAACCAAACATCTAAGCACTGTCAACATATTCTGCTGTGTATGGAAAACATGTAAGCGTTGCAACCTCCGGAAAGCTATATATATGGCCATGGAGAAACTTCATGTTCAATAGAAGCATCGCCTATGAATAAGCAATTTTTTTTGCCAGGTTAGATATCCTACGGTGATAAAACATGGCAATGGAACATCTACCATTTGTATATAGATGATTTTCCCATTAAAACCTTCATTTAGTTTATGGATTTCCCAGCTGCCCATGTTTGATTACCATGTTTGATTAGCAAAGGACTAATCACCATAAAAATCCATTAAATCCTCATTTGCAGATGATTTTCCGATTAAAACCTTCGATTAGTTTATGGATTTCCCACCTAGCCATGTTTGATTACCATGTTTGATTATCAAAGGATTAATCACCATAAACATCCATTAAATCTGTGAGCCGAAGACAAACAATTTCGGCAGCCGAAAGATTTCACTTCAACTTGCTGCCCTGTTGAGCATCACTCCAGTGACTATTGACCTCATATGTCAACAATATTCAACAATGTCATCATATGTCATCACTTCACAAACTCACCATGCACCTTTGGGGTTCAGGTGCCCCGCATTTGCTTTGGAAGAGGGGGCACATTTTGGCGCTCTGTATCTGTTGCATGGGCAAACAGAAGTCGCTTTTCGGCTGGACAGGCCCAGCTGGTTCGGTGGCCGCACTGGGACGTGTAGCCTGGACGTTGCCATGGAAAATTTGGGCAAATGATTTGTAAATGGATTTGTCATACCCCGATAAATAATGGTCATGTTCAATCATTTTAGTAGAATGGTCATGTTCAATCATTTTAGTAAAATGGTCATGTTCAATTATTTTAGTAGGCGTGGGAATGTGAGGTGTCCCATATTAAAAACATATACATGTATATATAATATATATATATATATAAACACAAATCGGCTACGGCTATAAAAAATGTTCTTTTCACGTGGCAATGATTAAAGAAGATAGATAGATAGATAGATAGATAGATAGATAGATAGATAGATAGATAGATAGATAGATAGATAAATAGATAGGTAGATAGATCGATAGATAGATAGATATACAGATAAACACATAGATAGATAGGTAGGTAGATAGATAGATAGATAAATAGATAGATAGATAGACAGACAAATAAATACATAAATAGATAGATAGATAGATAGATAAATAGATATAAAGATAGATAGATAGACAAATAAACAGATAGATAGATAGACAAATAAACAGATAGATAGATAGACAAATAAACAGATAGATAGATAGATAGGTAGGTAGATAGATAGATAGAGAGATAGATAGATAGATAGATAGGTAGATAGATAGATAGATCGATAGATAGATAGATAGGTAGATAGATAGATGGATAGATAGATAGATTAGATAGATTAGATAAGATAAGATTAGATTAGCTTACATTAGATTAGATTAGATTAGGTTAGATTAGATAGATACATAGATAGATTGATAGATAGATAGATAGATATATAGATTAGATAGATTAGATAAGGTTAGATTAGATTAGCTTACATTAGATTAGATTAGATAGATAGATTGATAGACAAATAGATAGATAGATAGATAGGTAGATAGATAGATAGATAGATAAGATAGATAGATAGATAGATAGATAGATAGAAAGATAGATAGATAGATAGATCAATAGATAGATAGATATACAGATAAACACATAGATAGATAGGTAGATAGATAGATAGATCGATAGATAGACAAATAAATACATAAATAGATAGATAGATAGATAGATAGATAGATAGATAGATAGATAGACAAATAAATAGATAGATAGATAGATAGACAAATAAATAC